CACAATGTGACAAAAATACAGTACTGCACAGTACAACACATGCCTGGACAAATACTTGCAAGAAATGTGGAATAAACTGTATCTTGAATTTGACAAACTGAACTCTGTGTTGATGAAAGATAAGCCTGACAGGAAAGGGACTGAGAAAAGTCTTTCTAGCTCTTTCCCTCCCCCTGTGACTTCCCTGAGGGAGAGCTTTGAACAAAAATACTGGTGAGAAAAGAGTCTGGAGTTCCTGTTTGATGGTGGCAGTGCTCAGGGATACTGTGAGGATTCTCTGTACCGTCTCCACTGGTGAGGCTTTGCCTTTCCAGAGGTTTTGCACTTCATATCTTCATTACAGAAAATGCCATGATGGCAACATTATCTTCTCCTAGTACACAATTATTGCTGCCTGCTATGTCCAAATGTGTAATGCTATAAAAGCTCTCCAGCACTCGTCAAAATAGAAAAGCCACTTCCACAAAGCACAGCATTTAAAAGCTGTGGTCTCCAAAATGGCACTTCAGAGAATATTTAACATATTTAATTCCTATTAGGAGTAATAGGAGCTAAGTATGCATCAAAAGATAATATACCTTCAAGTTTTAACATATATTTGCCATTATGGATGAAGTTACCCCTAAGTACTACATGAAATAACTGTCAGTTCTTAGATTTTTCCAGAGTATAAATCTTTTCTATTAGTATGTATAAGGCATAGCTAAATGTGGCTGTTTAAACAGAAAAGAACAGGCCTAATCAGAGAGAGTGTGATGGTTTCTCATAAAATACAGGGGACAGCCTTTGTTTGGATTTTTCCTGCTATCTCAAGATTTTTCTGAAACAAGCCTATTGTAGACATCACATGCAACTGTTATCTTGGGTTCTTTTCATTGATTTAAAATTTAAATAATAAGCTTTGTTTTTATCCTCACAGTACTTCTAAAAATAATAACAGTCAGGATAAGAAAAACAAACAATTTTATCTCCTAAATATTGTTGTTACACAGAAAAAGAATATGACAATATCCTCTCAAACACTTAACAAGGGTTAGAGAACATTAATATATTTTCAAAATTATTTTCAAAGCAGCACAGTGATTCTGAAACCCTCAGTTACCCAACACCAGTTTATTTCCCACATCCTTAATACTTTACTTCAGAGAATGGTATCTAGGTATGAGCAAAGGAAACTAGGGCAGAGCTTTCCCCCTCACAGGTCATATACGTGTTGCTGTGCCCTCATTATTCCCAGGTACACCTCCAGGAATAAGCATATCCCGTGGCTTTTACTGTCTGAGACATTTTGGGATTATTTTTGCTCAGCAATTCAGGTTGTGGGAGAGAAAACTTGCCTTTCCAGGGAATTCACAGCAGCCCAGTGATGTGCCTGACAGGACACACAGAAGGGAGGAGTCTGCCAACAGATAGAGCCATTTCTGGATACCAAGGAGAAAGAAAAACAGGCTTAGATTTTGGCGCTGTCCTGTTCTGCTTGTCTACATTCTTCTCAGGATGTTAAGTCCCAGTTTTTTGGGTTCAGTTTTCTTCAGTTTCTGTAACTTCTTCCTCAATCCTAATGGCTCCGTGATCCTTCCAGATCTGCTTAGGACATTTTTCACTTAATCAAGTGCTGAGATCTAAATTTCACATAATTTCTTTGAGAGTAAATTATTTTTTCTTTGTGTGTAGCCTCTTCAGCAGTAATTGATTGCTAGATGCAGCAATTTTAATCATCTAAAGACTGCAGTCTAAGTGGTCTCAAATTGCACTATATGAATTAAGGAGATGGGTTCAAAATCTCTATAAGCAAGTTAGTGCATAAATGCAGAAATAAGTGGATTTTATTGTGAAAGAAATGTTTCTATCTAGGGAAGCCTTTTAAAAATACGTAAACTTATTACAGAGGAGGCATAGAGACAGTGAACTGGGAATCGGTGTATTCCGTTTCTCCCAATACAACAGTTAGGGAACATTTTATGAATATTAAGAAGTTAAACCAGAGACTTTCAGTTTCTGTTTTGCTCCACCTAACATAACACGAGTCCAACAATCCCTTTCTGATTATATTATAATTAATCTACTGCCTTACAAGTAATCCATTAAAAACTCCCAGGAAACCACATGAGAAAGTAGACAGAATTTCTTTAAATACAAAAATGTTACAAACTTGAGCCACTGGAAAATTTTCCAAAAAATGGAAGGCAAAGTTATTAACATGATGACTTTTTACTTGTGTTCTATTATCTCAGGGAACATGTTGGCACTGTGCTTCAGCCTGATGTGATCTGAAATTGCTGTGAAATATAAGCAGGCTGTATAATTAAAGCAGCAATTAACCTTGCTTTTGAACAGCTTGGGAATTACATTTTGATTTAGAGGCACACAGCAGATCTCTGCTTCCAGTGTCTTTTCTTTGCATCAAGGAGATCTTGGAATTTTTGGTAACCTGGTCCATTCTATTTGGAAGTATCTGCCTGCCTGCTCCTTTGGATCTGTTGGCACTGAACACAGCAGGAATAATGATAAATGTTTTAAGGCTGATCAATTCTGAAAAAAGAAATCACAGTCACAAGCACCATTTGTGAGCAGATCATGAAGAGGAACATGTAGAGGATTCACACTTTGAATGAAAGAAAAAAACAGTATGAGGTCTATTCTCAAACCAATCCATGGATCTTTATAATGAATAAAAAATATAAAAGGAACTAAGAGGAAAACAAGAGAACAGGTCTCAGAAGACTTTCTAAACAAATGAAGTGACAAAACCAAGTGGGGAGCAACATTAGATTCCCATCTGCATTGTGATTCATTAAGAACTCGAAACATTATGCAATAAAATGAAGTCTTGATTTTATTCCAAACTGAAATAAAATCTCTGCATGGTAAGGATTTGTTTTGGGGCACAGGACTGACTTGTTAATTAAGGGGGGCAGCTAAGCTCTGTGAAAGCTGTTCTGCCACTCTATGAAGGTTTTGCCCTGAAATGGCCTTATTTTGCTCTTCTATGTCATGATTGCAGCAATTGCCTGGAAACTACACCCAATACAGAACTGATGGTCAGTAAAGAAGGCTCAGGGGAAGGGAAAGACAATGGATTAGACACATCCACAGCCACGTGTTGAATAACTGTCAGTAACGATTCTGGTCCCAGAGCTGGACCCCCAGCAGAACTGATGGAGACAGTGAGCAGATGACATGCACTCAAGCTGCTTTTGCTCCTTTTCCCATCAACCTCTTTCACTGGCATTTTCAGACAGAACCTTTTCACCTTCTCTTACACTACCCAGAACAAAGTTTCTTTTCCACTTAATCCAAAAGGATTACTATCTTGGCCACCTTAAAACACATACTAATAAGAATAACAAACCTCCGAACAGCTTTCAGTCACCGCAAGCTTAAAACGTACTCCCCAAAACATTTGATTTTTGTGCAGCACTGTGGCAGACTTCAGTGGTCTGAGACTCACAGGGTGGATAGCGTGCCAGTAACCAAAGTTAAGTGCTGATGGAGAAGAAAGCTTGTTCCACAGAATTCCTAAGAGCCTGAAAAGCCAAAGTGCAGCCTAAGGTTATCACAGAGGAACAGTGTGCTGCAAGGACTAACAGCTATAAATAACACACAAAGGAAACTGTTTTACATTTGTTTGGTTTTGAGCACACATACAAGAGATGGATTAGAGCTTTTTTCTTGTGCAACACATCAGATTAATTCAACAACCTCTTTGCCAAAGAGTGCTCTTAAGGGACTACATGTTCCTCTACTTCCAGGACTTCAATTTTCTTTGTTCAAACTAAGACTACTTAACAAAAGTTCAGCTTCTGAGATCACATCTCTTGTTTTTGACCCTTGGTAGGGTTCTAGCTGCTCCCTGCAGCATTGTTCTCTCTCTCAAATCAACCCAAACCTCTTTAGTCTTTCCTACTGTCTACCCCCTGTAGGGCTTCACTCCACAATCCATCCCCTCTGGAGCACAACACACAACAGATTCTATTCCTTTTATCTTTCTATGCCCTTTCCTTCTCATTTTTCAGCAGCCCCCTCCCCATGCTGTCCTTCTTAAAGAACAGGCAATCTTATACCATCAATCGAATTTTAGCTCCACAGCACCAAGCACAACAGTTTCAAGAGCAAACCTAAAATTCCTGTAGGAAAGTGAAGCATTTAAAAACATCCCACTCAAATTGCAGCCCTGGCTGGAGGGCAAAGAAATGGGGATCAAAGAAATGGGGACCAAATCAGTGCCATTTTTCAGAGGTAACAAGAGCAGCAGCCTGTTTACTGACTGGACTGAACCTGCACCAGCCACCACTTCTGCAAAGTACCTGAGCACCAGAAACCTGGGACACCAAGTCCCTGCAGTTTGCTCTCAGCAGAACTCCACCCTTACACAAACCAGCTCTGTGCTCCTGTCTACTTAAACAGTTCAAAACAAGTCACATGCAAACAGCTTTCTTCCTCCTTGCATATTATTAGTTCAACATTTTAATAGCCTCTGGCCTGTGAGATAAGAAACTAATTCTATTTCTCTTCCCTGGTGATCAGCACCTGTCTTATGGCAACATACCATTTTTAGTACATATTAGTTGGATAATAAAAGCTCATCCATGGCAAAAACTTCACAGAGAAAAGGAATGAGTAAAATCTCAAAATCCTGGCAGAAGAAACCAACCATTTCTTTCCAGTAATGGCAAAGTTATTTTGCCTACAACACTGGAAAAAGAAAAACAAAAACACAAAAGCAAACAGCAAAGTCTACTCAGGTGTAACTTCGATGTTTTCTGTGGTGCAGCAAATGACAAGTCTAATTGCTAAACCATGATCAAAATTATCTGATCCACAGTATCACCAAAAGATTGAATTAAAATTTGTATTACACTAGAATATACAGTCTGCATACTGTTGGCTATAGTAGCTATATTCAAAATTTGTGCATAAGGCAAACTGTTAAGGCTGTTAGAAACTGGTGTTAAAAAGACTACCAGGCTAAGTTCAAAACCATTTTAAAAAGTACTCACAATTTGTCCGTGGTTTTGAGACAACAGCTATTACATTTGCAAATGTTACACTAGAATATGTTCCATCTCACAATCAGCAGCCTTATGACTGTTAAAGGAAAAAAAAAACCAAACCAACATTTCCATATGAATATATGTTATCTGGATATCTTGTTATCCCAGCTGACAAGAGGAGCCAAAATCCTGACCAACTCACCATCCATGTGGATATTGGGCATCCCGGGTGAGAAATCTATGGAGTGCCAGCATTCCCAATATCCAAGGGGCTGCAGAATCTGCCCATATGCTCCCTCTAAACACAACAGATTGATACCAAAGCAAAGTAGTTCAAATGTTTTCGGTGCTCATCTATCACGGCCAACAATCTGCAAACACTTTGGAATCACTTTCCTTAGTCAGACACTACAAGTGCCGGTTTTAGCTTGAAGCATAAGCTTCCCATTCAGAGGTGAAGAGGTTCCAAAGACCTGAAAATCTTCCCTGCTTTGAGGAAATCTGGGTTGGAATTTGGCTTTGAATTTTTCAGCAACATTTGAGGATGAAGGGTAAAAACCAGGCAGTAATATAGTTGTCTAAAAAAGCAAGTAAAACTGTTGATTGGCCTTTATTTAGGGAAGATATTAAATAAATATTATGTTGGTAATGATGGCAAAAAAAGATTCAACACGTTCTGAAGATTAAAAAAATATACTGGTAACTGTTTGGGTTTTTTTAGAAAAAACATTACAGCATGACATCTTGAAACTCCAGTTGTTAGTGTATATGCTGCCGTCAAATACCAGACACTCAGAAAAACTGAAATTAAAAAAAAATCAAAGTACAGAAATGTACATAAGACTCAACTGCAGTAAAATTTTAAAAAGTGTAGTTGGAGAAGAAAAAGAGCTCAAAGACTTCCGATTTAATAAGCTGAGCAAACTTTTCTTTGTCAGAACACTACTAAAATATTTCTCAGGTTGAGGAAGACTTCTTTAATTCAAACTACGGTCTTGGATTCAGAGCACCTCATCGCAAGTTTTATCACAGAAAATATATCCCAAATATATTTGTTGTCTATCTCCAACAGGCTTGATCTTACATTGATTTTGGCAATTTTCTGCTCAGCATGGAAGCAACCACTGATCTTGATCTACTCTACTGCAGCTTGTCTGGGTTTGTACATTCACGAACAGACACAAACATTAAATTTCTACTCCAACTACAAAGCCAAAGATTCCTGTAGAGACAGAAATATTGTTTGTATGGGTAACTCAGCATTACTCCCAACTCCCAGAATCAAGCCAGGGTGGGACTCAAACATGGAGTCTAAATTTTGGCAATTACGTTTTATGTAAAAAAGTTATTTTGCTGTTTTAAAACGTTATTTATTATTGATAATTTGACAAATGCTTCAGACTTCCCTAGTGCTACACTAGATCACTTAATGGCCCGTAACAGACAAGCTTCTTCACTTTTGAAGGGTTTTTCTTTTCCTGAGGTAAAGCAAGAAACATTCTACAGAAATTTTCTATCCACTTTAGAGGGACCATTTCTGTGAGAAACACTGAAAAGACCTTTTGAATTTGCCTCAGAAGCAGCCAGGGCGACATGTCAGTGCGGGCGTGGCAGGGCAGTTGGCGTGGCGGGTCGTGCAGGCAGGGCACAGTCACCTCCTCGCTCTCTCTGCTGGCCTGGCAGGTAGGTCTGTGGCAGTGGGTATATACATATTTTTTTTCCCCTGCAACTCACCTCGACCCAGCAATGGTTTCCAAAGGAGCGAGAGCCGTTGCTGCTGCTCTCAGGGGGAGTGTGCTAACCCAGGCAGAACCCCCAGGAAGGACGCAGCCGTGCAGGTCTCTGGCTGCCCAGAGTGTCTGAGCCTGGCGTCGGTACCAGAGGACAGCGCGAGAGACGCCTGCATACGATGCGAGTAAATGATTTGCTGTGCTTAGTGGCAGAGCTCGAGTAAGAAGTGGAGAGACTCAGAAGTATTAGGGAAAGGGAAATACACTGGTGGAGTCATACCCTCTCGACCCCAGAAGTCCAGCAGGAAATAGTGAAGCCCTGCCCGTCCTACCATCAGGCAGATGGAGCAAACCAAGTAGAGGGGGGGGAATGGAAACAGGTCCCTGATGGAAGAGGTAAAGGAATCCCCTCCTGACCCCCATCACCTCCCCGGGTGCCCTTAAAGAACAGGTATGAGGCCCTGTGCCTGGCAAGGTTATGGAGCAGATCATCCTAAGTGCAGTCCTACAGCACCTGCAGGATGGACAAGGGATCAGACCCAGCCAACACGGGTTTAGGAAGGGCAGGTCCTGTCTGACCAACCTGATCTCCTTTTATGATCAGGTGACCCGCCTGGTGGATGAGGGGAAGGCTGTGGATACAGTCTGTCTGGACCTTTGACATCATCTCCCACAACATACTCCAGAAAAGCCCACAGCTTGGACAGGGGCACTCTGTGCTGGGTCAGGAACTGGCTGATGGCCGGGCCCAGAGAGTGGTGGGGAACGGGGCTGCATCCAGTTGGGATCCAGTCACCAATGGTGTCCCCCAGGGATCAGTGTTGGGACCAGTTCTGTTTAATGTCTTTATTGATGATCTGAATGAGGGCACTGAGTCCACCATTAGCAAATTTGCAGATGACACCAAGCTGGGGGGAGTGTTGATCTGCTGGAAGGCAGGAGGGCTCTGCAGAGGGACCTGGACAGACTGGAGAGATGATCTGATTCCAGTGGGATGAGATTCAACCAGGCCAGGTGCCGGGTCCTGCACTTTGGCCACAACTCCCTGCAGCTCCCAGTTGGGGACAGAGTGGCTGGAGAGCAGCCAGGCAGGAAGGGACCTGGGAGTTTGGATTGACAGGAAGCTGAACAGGAGCCAGAGTGTGCCCAGGTGGCCAAGAAGGCCAATGGATCCTGGCCTGGATCAGGAATAGTGTGGCAGCAGGACCTGGGAAGTAATTCTTCCCCTTTACTCAGCGCTGGTGAGGCCACCCCTGGAGTGCTGTGTCCAGTTCTGGGCCCTCAGTTCAGGGAGGATATTGAGGGGCTGGAGCAGGTCCAGAGAAGGGCAACGAGGCTGGTGAAGGGACTGGAGCACAAGTCCTGTGAGGAGAGGCTGAGGGAGCTGGGGCTGTTCAGCCTTGAGAAGAGGAGGCTCAGGGGAGACCTCCTCACTCTCTACAACTCCCTGACAGGAGAGGGGAGCCAGGTGGGGGTTGGTCTCTTCTCCCAGGAACCAGCAGTAGGACAAGAGGGCTCGGTCCTAAGCTCTGCCAGGACCAGGTTTAGGTTGGAAACTGGGAAGAAATTTTTTGCAAAGAGGGTAATCAGGCATTGGAATGGGCTGCCCACGGAAGTGGTAGATTCTCCGTCCCTGGAGGTGTTGAAGGTAAGACTGGATGTGGCATCAATGCCATGGTCTGGGAACCACGGCGAGGTTGGATCAAAAATTGGACTTGATGATCTTGGAAGTCTTTTCCAACCCAGATGATTTTTTGATTCTATGATTCTAAGATGGAATTACTTGTATTTCCATGTATTACAGTAAAACAAATTTAATGAAAATTAACAAAATTGCAATGGTTTTATTTGTCCCCCAAATGCAGTAAAGAAATATGTTACAGAACATTTTCCCACAGCTGTTCGAGCAACAACACTCATAAATCACAACCAACAAATATAACTGATTGCAGAAATGAATGTATTAACTTCTCCAGGATTTTTCCATATAAATCTCTCTAGAAACTTTTTGCTTCGAGAGACACATTGTAATTAAAAATCAACAATGAAATCCCAAACAATATAAAGAATTATAGCACCAATTAATTACAGTGCTTTCAAGCTGAAAAAAAGCAATTTGCTAATGAAAATCACTATTGCTTAACAGCAGTGTTAACAACAAAAAATTGTTACAATAAATCACTCTTCATAAACATGTATTTATATTTGAAGTCTTCCTACCATTATAAAGTTTCACACATAAAATCTGCAACACAAAAAAGCAGTTTTTTCCTCAGCTACACTATATAAAGCTGACAACAGTAATGGAATATAGCGATTTCTAATTCCAGAAAATGTCAGACCAGTCACCGAAAGCATCAACATTTATATATGATGGCTTGCATCTTCTGGACATGAGATGTTAACTGGTCTAATATCCCACAGAACACAAGGCATAATGGCCAGTCTTCGCGAGCGAAGATTTTTGGGAAAGGTCATTAACCCTTCCAGCCTGCACAGTGGATTTTTAGGTGAGACACAGCGTGCGCTGAACTGAGCCCACCCTTTAGTCCTGAGGTTCATCTGCCGGGGCCGAGCAAAGCTTGGACAGTGGCACTGAGGTCCCCAGGATGTAGGTTTGTTTAGAGTGACCTTCTCTTAGGTGGATTGCCTTCCACGGCTGACGAGCTCCACCTGCCCAGGGGGCCGGGAATCGAACCCAGGTCGCAGAGGTGAGAGTCAGGCACTCTAACCACTAGACCACCAGAGGCCACACAAGACCACACAAGACCACACTAGACCACACAAGACCACCACTAGACCACACAAGGCATACAAAGTAAATAAAACAACACAAAAAGCTTCAGTGGGCAATTATATAGCTACATTTTACGATATCTTGAATAAGAAAAAGCAATCACGTTTAGATGCCAAAAATCTATGCCAAAAAAAAAAAGGTATAACCTGTTGGTAATTGAAAGACACTTTGAAACAATTGTGAGACACAACTTCACTTTCCCTCACAAAGAAGAGTTTGTGGTTTTGTTTCTGCTTTTGGTTTCAGTGGGGACTGAGGCAGAGTGTGTTCTGTGGAAAGCAATATATATTTAACACAAAATACAGTTTACACAATTCACTTCCAAAAAAAAGGTGCACAAATGGACTATTTAATAGGGCTCAACTGCAGAACGCTTCTGTAGTTCAATCCTGATCTTGACCTTTTTTATTCATTTATCTCTTGTGTGTTTATTTTAATTTCGCACTATCTTTTGTCCTCTGTTTCAAATACAAACATAAAATTTTCTGAAGGTCTAACTCTTTCTGATACATTTTGTGTTCATATCTTCATGTAGTATTTTTACATTCAAAGTTTCAGAAACTGGCTCAAATTCCCATTCCTCCAACTTTGTGAGACTTTACCCAATGATAAAGTAAAAATCATTGTTAAGGACTGTCACACTGTTTTCACTGTGTTTGTTCTACATTAAAGAATTAATCTGGTTGTCTTGAATGTTTATAAGGTTTATTCCCTCAAAAACTCATGCTACAGATCTCTGGGACAAAACTCATAATATAGATTAGAGCATATTGTTTACAGTCCATAAACACTTTTTATTATGGTTTCATAACATTATTCCATTCTATGGAGTAAATTAACATATTTTCTAGGGCTCATTAATCCTCATTTAATCAGTCAGTGAACACGAACCAAATCCATTAAAATGAAAATCAAGACATGAACTCTAATTTAAGCCACTATTTTAGTAATTGCATTTATCTTTAGTAAATCCTAATAGATAGTCCTAAAACTAGTTTTCCCCTTCCTTATATTTAGTTTACAAAAAGACCTTTGAATATTAACCATCGTCTAAAAGCCCTGTTCTCCCTGTTCTTTGATTGTTATCAGTGCCAGTGGATTTGTATGAGTCAAAGTTGGATTGCTCTGTGTCCAAGAAGTTTATTTTCTCTTGAAACAGACACAGTGCCTCTGAAAAAGGGTCTTTTTACATTCTCAAAGTATCCAAGTAATAAGCCAGGCTCCACTGTGTAAGTTTTTCATACTATTACAGGGAAATCCTAATAAGAACTTCCAGGAGATAAAATGGACAACAGGTTCATGCAGACTGATGCACAGGAAACACCAGAAAGGGATATATTGGTGGAGTCACCAGAACAGCAGGAATGTCATGCCCACTGCCAATTATTTCATGCATCAAAAATAAGGAGGCTGAAGAAGAGCAGAGACAGAGACAGAAAGAGAAGGAATGGGAAGAGCAACTGAAAAGCCACCTGAAGCACAGCACCTGAAGAGCTGAACTCTCAGGCATCAACATTTGCTCCTGAAGTTGAACATTCCCCACTCTTGTTTTTCCTTGAGGCACTGGGACAAATTCACAACCATTTTGAAGTCAGTTGCCCCCAAAACCTGAGCAAATATAATTTCCTCTCTAATTTAAAGAGAAAACAGGGAAGGTTGAGCACACCACCTCACCAGAGGCTCACATACGTGCTTTCACAAGCTCTGCCAAGCATGCTTCTATCACAACTCCACTTAAAACCTTTTGCCAGACTTAAAGTTGAAATTTTACAAGAAACAGTAAAGCAGAAACAGGAAGTACAAGCAGTACTGGGAAACTTTTACTGAGTAATACAAAAGACATAGCAAATATTCAGGGACAGAGGACCACATTGCTTCCAGCATTTCCCAAGATACATAAACTATTCCTGTTGAGATCTGGAGGAGGAGAGCACAGGCAACCCAAGATTTCACTTGAATTGTAATCCCTTCCTTACATCCAGAAATCATAGGATGGAAATTGGAGAGATTCAGCAAGATCCCTCTGAGTTTTCCAGCTGCCTGAACAGAGGGTTCTGAGCTGTCCAATTCTGCATCAACTTAAAGGCCAGTGATGATACATCAGATGTCACAAAAATGTGTATAAAGAAACACAAAGTGTTTGCTGCCTGTTTTGGTAATTCTGCAACATCTCAAACACACCAAAGTTGCACAAGTATGTGACTGGTTTCATTTCAAAACAAAAAGGAATCATTAACATCCAGAAATTGGGGACCGTAGCTCTCAGTTAAGAAGGTGCATGTGTGAAGTATTTCAAGAGCTGCTAATTGTAAAATAATAATAATAATAATAAAAGGGTAAAGCCACAAACTGCTTCTGGACAGCAGAAAAGAAAGAGTAATTAGTTTTTCACATACACATAAAAAATACTTTAGCATTTAATGTTTCTGTACTATTAAGAGACCAGTACTCAAATGGAGAATGAGTGAATTAATTCACTCTCTTCTAGCCAAAGGCAAAAATAAATAACTACCAAATAATAAATTA